ATATATACATTTGGACCGTTTAACTCACTCTCAGGATCGAAAAATTTTCAAAAAAAAAAAAACTGATTTTATCTTTTAAAATGATAGAGAATCTTTTCCTACTGGTAATGACACCAAAAGTATGAAATTTGATGGAAAATTTACGAAATTACACTCGCAAAGTCAGCGGTATTTACACATTGGTGATTTCGCTCACTTTGAGACCTATTTTCAGCCAGTTCCATTGTTCCAGTCGACTAAAATCATAGCTTTTTCTTTAGAACTCCATTTGTTCTATTGATTGAGTACAAGAAACTGCCCATTTAGCAATTTCAACTACCCAATAGTCGGAAATTGGCAGTTTGGCCAATTTCAACCAAATTTCAGAAGATGCCAATTTCAAAATAGGATCCAGAATAAACCAGACATTCCTCGCACTAAAATAACATTTTCTTTGATCATTAGTCATGTCTCCAGGCCCCTCTTGTATTACTTTTGCTTTCCATTTTGAATTATTATTCTCACAAAAAACAGAAGATTTACTGTTATGCAGACTACTGCATCATTGTAAAAATGGTGTAATTAATATCAGCGCACTTGTGAAAGAATATTAGACTTGCCAGTTGATGTGTATTGGACACATGGCATGATTTGTTTACTCTTGAACATAGGCAAAAATCGAACATTTCCACTACTTTGAGCTCAATTTCAAGGTACTTTTCATTGTAAAACTAATCAAAATCATCTCCATTTCTGTAATATATCTTCCATTCTATCAAATGAGACCAAGAAAACGAGACTACAACCATAAATGCTATATGAAAATACACTATAAAGTTGCTGTTTTAAACCAAAAACACGGTCAGAGTTTTTTTTTCTCATGCACTGTGTGCTGCAGGAATTTTTTTATACTGCTCACACTGACCATGCAGACCCATTTCCTCTCATGTAGGCCTACCAGCCTTCTCCCGCTCGATTTGAAGGCGCTAGAATTTACACGTACATGTATAAGCATGTGACCGACCCTGGCTGTTAAGACGTACATGTACGTGATCAACCCTGAAAGGGTTAAAGTGCAGGCATTGTACTTCTCATTTCCAGGACTCAAGTCTGGCTAACTGGTTTCCCTGAATCCCTTCACAAAATATTACCCTGCTCACACTCCAACAACTCATTAAGTCCCAAAAACCATTCATCTCCATTCACTCCTATCAAACACGCTCACACACACTTGCTGGAAGTCCAAGCCCCTCGCCCAGAAAACCTCCTGTACCCCCTCCCTCCAACATTTTTGAGTATGACCCCCTACCCTGCCTTCCTTTCCCTACAGATTTATGTGCTCTCCAAGTCATTCTACTTTGCTTCATTCTCTCTAAATGATCAAACCACCACAACAACCCCTCTTCAACCCTCTGACTAATACTTTTAGCAACTCCACACCTCCTCCTAATTTCCACACTTTGATTTCTCTGCTTAATATTTTTACTACACATTGCACTTAAAAAAAAAAAAGTGACAGTACTACCACCCCTAAAGTGGTAAACTTTAGAATTTTACAGAAACTATAGAACTAATATTGAAGTCTGAAAGTTGAAGGTTATCAGGCTTGCTATCTGTTTCATGATGAATCTGTGATGTTACAGGTAGGGCATCTGGGGTACTTGAAATTGAAGCGACAGGATTTTCAGGTGAAGGCCTACTGATATTACTTATTCTTTTTCATCCAAGCGAAGTTTTTTAGTCTGCTTTGATTTTTCACTGTGTAATTTTTCATGCCATGAATAAAAATTCATTAGCTCTTATTCTGTCACAGAGGAACATTGTTCTAGCTTTTTGACTAATTCACCTGACAACTGGATTAACTTCTCAGTAGTCATTGCTCTTGAAAAGTTACTGTACTTGTATAGCTATTAATCCTAGCTATAGCTTGGATTAATTGTTAGCAAGATATGTGAAGAATTACTCTACAAAATCAAGGATCACTACCAACAACTGCAGTGTAAACAATATAAGTGGGCATGCACTACATACACTGCATCTGTGGCAGCCCAGTTAACTATTCTGACAAAAAAATAGTCCTTTAATTTGTCCAGATTAACCCTTTCAGAAAGTGTTTGTGCTGTAGTATTACACCATAAGCTCAGCTCATTCAGATAAGCTGTGAGTGATAAATTTGGGCCTAGATGTGAGAGAATGGGTATCTGCGGTAAGTGCACCATATAAAAAAAATCCTGCAGTACGCAGTGCATAATAATAAAAAAAAACTTGCAACCATGTTTTTGGTTTAAAATGGCAAATTTGCAGTGTATTTTCTTATGGTTTTTATGGTTGTATTTTCGGTTTCTTGGTCTCATTTGAGAGAATGGAAGATATATTACAGGAAAAGAGAAGATTTTGATTGGTTTCAGGACTGAAAATAGATTGAAATTAAGTTAAAATTAGCAGAAATATTCGATTTTTGCCAATATTCAAGAGTAAAACAAATCACTTCACTCGTCCAATACATGTCCAACCGGTGGGTCTAATATGCATTCACAAATGCGCTGATATTATTTATACAATTATTACAGTAATGCATAACAGTAAATCTATTTTTTTGTGCGAATAAAAACTCCAAATATAATTTATGTGTAAAGACTGGGAATGTAACTAATGAATGGAGGAAATGTTATTTTAGTGCCAGGATTGTCTGCATTATTTATTCTGGACCATATTTTGAAATGGGAGAATTTTGAAATTTTTGTGAGATTGGCCAAATTACTAAATTCTGATCATTTTATTGGGCAGTTGAAATTGATGATTGGGCAGTTACTTGTACTCAGTGGATAAAATGGAAGACATACTAGCAAAATAGCTAAGAATTTGGTGTACTACAACAGTGTAATTGGCCTAAAGTAGGACTCAAATTGGGCAAAATGGCTGATGCATAAATATCGCTGACACAGCACAATGCCTGAAAGTGTAATTTCATCAGTTTTACATCAAATTTCATACTTTTTGTTTTATTACTTTCAGAAAAAAGTTCTCTACCATTTCATAAGAAATTTTTTTTTTCTAAATTCTTGGACACTGTGGACAAGTTGCAGATCAGGAGTCTGGACACTGAAACAGTTAAAAGAGGTGCCGAACAATCCAGTAGATCAGTGTTGTACCTGTACGTTTTGTAGAAAGCATGCCTAACAAAAGAAGGTTGAAATGTTTGGGGCTAGAGCATCCAGTAGGTGTATGTAGCATGAGAGATTGTTAGGATTCAACATATGCTGTTGGAGTATGAGCAACATAACATTTTGAAGGATGTCAGTGAAACCAGTTAGCTGGACATGAGTCCTGGAGGTGGCTTGGGCAGTGCCTACACCCTCAAGGAGAGGTGGGAATGTTACAGTTCTGTGGATTATTTTAACTGATATCTGTGTATCTAGAAAGGGGCTAGTAACCTCTTCTTCTGTATATATTACTAAATGTAAAAGTAATGAAAGTAGTTTGTTAGATTATGTATTGGTGGATAAAAGGTTGATGGGTAGGCTCCAGGATGTACATGTTTATAGAGGGGCAACTGATATATCGGATCATTATTTAGTTGTAGCTACAGTTAGAGTAAGAGGTAGATGGGAAAAGAGGAAGGTGGCAACAACAAGTAAGAGGGAGGTGAAAGTGTATAAACTAAGGGAGGAGGAAGTTCGGGCGAGATATAAGCGACTGTTGGCAGAAAGGTGGGCTAGTGCAAAGATGAGTAGTGGGGGGGGTTGAAGAGGGTTGGAATAGTTTTAAAAATGCAGTAATAGAATGTGGGGCAGAAGTTTGTGGTTATAGGAGGGTGGGGGCAGGAGGAAAGAGGAATGATTGGTGGAATGATGAAGTAAAGGGTTTTGATAAAAGAGAAAAAGGTAGCTTACGAGAGGTTTTTACAAAGCAGAAGTGTTATAAGAAGAGCAGAGTATATGGAGAGTAAAAGAAAGGTGAAGAGAGTGGTGAGAGAGTGCAAAAGGAGAGCAGATGAAAGAGTAGGAGAGGCACTGTCAAGAAATTTTAATGAAAATAAGAAAAAATTTTGGAGTGAGTTAAACAAGTTAAGAAAGCCTAGGGAAAGTATGGATTTGTCAGTTAAAAAACAGAGTAGGGGAGTTAGTAGATGGGGAGAGGGAGGTATTAGGTAGATGGCGAGAATATTTTGAGGAACTTTTAAATTTTGAGGAAAAAAGGGAGGTGGTAATTTCATGCATGGCCAGGGGGGTAACCATCTTTTTGGAGTGAAGAAGAGCAAATGTAAATGTGGTGGAGGTAGG